TCTCCTGCCTCAGCCTCCCAAGTAGCTGGGACCACAGGTGCCCACCACAACGCCTGGCTATTTTTTTGGTTGCAGCCATCATTGTTGTTTGGCGGGCCCGGGATTTAAACCTGCCACCTTAGGTGTATGTGGCTGGTGCCTTAGCCACTTGAGCCACAGGCGCTGAGCCTCCACCTGTTTCAAATCACAAGAAAAGGCCTGAGGGACCAGTGGTCAGTGCACTGGTTTTCAAATTTTAACTGCAGCATGACAAGGAGGGCTTATTAAAACCCTATTTTCTGGGCCCCACCCCAGAGTTTTTGATTCATTAAGTCTAGGACAGGGTCTGAGAATTTGTCTTTCTGTCTTTCTTTCTTTCTTTCTTTTTTTTTTTGGAGACCGTCTCACTTTGTTGCCCTTGGTAGAGTGCCATGGTGTCACAGCTCACAGCAACCTCAAACTCCTGGGCTTAAGAGATTCTCTTGCCTCAGTCTCCTGAGTAGCTGGGACTATAGGTACCCCCCACAATGCCTGGGTATTTTTATAGACAGGGACTGGCTCTTGCTCAGGCTCGTCTCAAGCCTGAGAGTTTGTGTTTCTTTTCTTTTCTTTTTTATTTTTATTTTTTGTAGAGACAGAGTCTCACTATGTCACCCTTGGTAGAGTGCTGTGGCATCACTCAGCTCACAGCAACCTCCAACTCCTGGGCTTAGACAATTCTCTTGCCTCAGCCTCCTGAGTAGCTAGGACAACAGATGCCTGCCACAACGCCCAGCTATTTTTTTGCTGTAGTTTGGCTGGGGCCGGGTTTGAACCCACCACCCTCGGTATATGGGGCCTGCACCCTACTCAACTGAGCCACAGGCGCTGCCCGTGAGTTTGTATTTCTAACAAATTCTTTAGATGATGTTGATATTGCTGGTGGGGGTGGGGCATTTTTGAGAACTAATGGCTTAGACCACAGATTGGCTGGTCACCATGTTGTATAAATAATTTTTTTTTTTTTTTAGAGACAGTTTCACTTTATCACCCATTGTAGAGGCTGTGGCATCACAGCTCACAGCAACCTCCAACTTCTGGGCTTAGGCGATTCTCTTGCCTCAGCCTCCTGAGTAGCTGGGACGACAGGCACCCCACAATGCCCGGCTATTTTTTTGCTGCAGTTTGGCTGAGGCTGGGTTTGAACCAGCCACTCTTGGTATAGGGGCTGGTGCCCTCCCACTGAGCCACAGGTGCTGCCCAGAAATAAAATTTTATTGGTACATATCCTTATCTATTTGCTTACATACTGGTCTATAATTGCTTTTGCCATAGCTGAATGTTAGTGACAGACCATATGGCCCCCAATATTTTTTATTAGATGGCCATCTAAGACAAGGTTTGTTCAACCCTCTCCTTTTTTTTTT